TACACGTGATTTAGATTTTTTCTAGTAGCCGAGATCCTTGTGAATGAGTTCGTCCAGGGAAGTACTGCCACCTTACTTATTTCTGCCGCCAAGCAGTACTTAATGTGATCATTACAGGCTCATGGGTGCTGGTGAAATTACAGGCACATGGGACTTATTAACTTATATCTCAGAGTGACTGCCTCTCAAATTTTTGCGATTTAAAACTCTGAGTGGCACGCAACTGTTATGTGTAGGTGTGTCGCTTTGTTTGTTCGTCCCGTCACTTAGAAGCCCTAAAAAAATATCCGAAATAATAGTATAATTTCCAACGTGTGGAAATCGCGAAATAATTTATCATTTTTCATTGTTTATTTACGTATTTGTTAAACTTATAGACAAATAACAAAATAATTTCTACTAAACTTGATACCGTCGTAAAACTTAACAAACCTATTGTGTCATTAAGGACTATTGTATGTACGTTTCGAAGTCTTCAAACAATAAGGGTTATTGTTGTTTTTGAATGTAAATTTCGGATCCACGTGCGTCGAACCGGTGTTCATTCAAACGTGGTAGCTACTGAACGACAAACAAAGAGTTACTCTAACCCTTTGTTTAGGTAACCAAGGGAATTTTAATCTTATTTTTTTATTACATAAGAGCGAACACGATTCAAGATAACGGCTACTCAATACAATGTTAATAATTGTGATGTATATTATCAGCGAAGTTGAAGCCTTCCCAACCCTAAAACAGTCTTGTTTGCAAGCGAAGATTAAAACTAGCCCTTTTCCTTATTTTATTCATCCTTTTTTATTTAAACCGTTTTTATAATAAATACATGACATAACCCTTAAAGTCGAGAAGACTCGACTTTAAGGGTTATGTCACCCATACTACAAAGTTTGAAAACAAAGTTTTCAATCAGTTCGTTCTACCTTTAATTACATACGGAGCCGAGACGTGGACACTCACGATACGGTTAGTTTACCAGGTGACAGTCGCTCAGCGAGCTATGGAACGGCTATATGGAGTTTCTTTGAAGGACTAGGTACGGAACGAGATTATCCGACAGAGAACCAAGGTCGTCGACATAGCTGGTAGAATAAACAAGCTGAAGTGGCAGTGGGCTGTCCATATCTGTCAAAGAACCGATAACTGATGGGGGAAGCGATTTCTTGAGTGGTGACCACGGCTCGGCAAATGTAGTGTAGGACACCCTCTGACCAGATGAAGTGACGATTTGCGAAAGGCTGCTGGCAGCAGATGGATGCGACGAGCTGAGGGCCGGGCGCATTGGGAGAGGCCTATGTCCAGCAGTGAACGGCGATAGGCTGTTGATGACGATGATGATAACCCTTAAACGCCGTTGGTTGATACGAACAAGACAGGTGCGAGGTGCCGCTATTAACCGCCGCCGTTTGCCTGCGCGCAAAAATAATCCTTAGGCCACAAATTTGCCCGTACATTGCGCGAAAACGTGTGTCTCGTGTTGGATACATCCAACACAAGACACAATGTACGCGCCAACCTTGAACGCCCCGCTGAACGCACCACACCGTCCCGAATTTACGGCCTGAATTTGGTAACGCGTCGATTTTGCTGATAGTAGATATACTATCCTATAAGCACAATGTTCATAATCGCTAGGATTTTGTGACTTCCTTCAGATACATTTTCTTAATCTGTAAAAGGCCACAATAAGATCTAAATAAAGCATTAACGGTTTTGTTAGAACAGTCTACGAGTATACCTTAAGCGAACGAGCCCTAACTCAATAACGCGTAATTTTTTTTTCTGCCGTTATTCGTATTTTCGTACACAGGGCTTTAAATACTTGCCTGAATACCTTTGAAAGAATAGAGTTCGGTGAAAGAATAGATCATCATAATCTTAAGATCAATGTACTCAATTAGGATAAAATTCTAAAAACAATTTAGAATTAACCAAAAAAGTTATATGTATATAATCATCGTATTTATTTTTCTACCATTCAGCATTTTTTATGCTTTTTCCAGATTTAGATTAACTCGTAACTTGTATTTAGGTAACTTTTATCTTCTTTCGTGGATAAATTAAATGAAAAATATTTTGTACTACAAGCGAACCCTTCAGTGAAGCAATTTTGAAAGAGTAAACGAGCGAAGTAATATAAAAAAAAAAAACATTTAAAAAGGCAACTCCGTTATAACGTACTTCCAGTACGCAAAGAGAGTCTTTGTCGTGTGCTCTATAGATGTTAAATGACAAACAATGCATTGTTAAAGCTTTGTCGTGAGTTGGGTTCGGGTGTGACGTGACTTGTGACATCCTACATCCTTGTATTGTGTGTTTGAGGGGACAAACACGAATTATAATTATGTACTTTTTGTACACAAAAGTAACCCAGCTATGAGTTAAAATTATTTTCGTAATGTTAATGTAATGAAATATTATAGGCATCTTTGTAGATAATAATATCTAACTTAGTACGCGTCTAGGTAATAGAATTCTTCCTATAGGTAGGTTTTCTTAGCAACGGTCACTACGATAAAATCTTAACTGTGAGGCGGATAAACCTCGAACTTAACACCGCCTATCTGAACCTGCCATGCATGAGCGCTATTTCTGAAAGTTGCAAAACTGCAAGAACTCTTTGTTTACCAACATAGAACATGAGTAACGTAACGAGTATCATCTCAGTTCTCGGCAAAACGCCAATAGAGGGCGCTGTTCAAAAATAGAAGTGTCACAGGGGAACGAGTTATAGTCCCTGCGGTAGGCATTTCCGATCTTCCGTTACTTATGCCACCCAGCTTAAAGATATCTTAATCACGTAACTGTGTCCACTTGTGATAGTTCATTTCCATTTGGTCGCGTTATAATCCTAAAGTAGCTCAGGCGTATTTATAAACGGTAACTTGGATTCAGGGGTGTCACACATACCTACTTGAGTATTTTGAAAGACGTCCAGAATAAATTAATTATATAATTCGATGGAAGAAAGTAACTAATATTTTACTCATTTCAAAATTAAATAATTTTATACAAGATGTAATCGTTAAGTGTGCCCAGGCGATTATTCCGTAAATATAAGAGATATCAAAAATCTTTAAACTGATATCGATAGTACGTTATATGTACATAATATAATAATGAGTAAAACGACATCATTATTTTTTTTAAATAAAGCTACAAATATCCAAAATTTTAACATTAAACACTCCCATTCGTTTATAATATGACGTTCGTACAGAAGTCTTAGTTTCTCTACTTTAAGAGGTAAGAATAAGTTTACAAATCTGCCGCCGTAAGTTGAAAGGGCGCATGTGACACTTTTTCAAAAAATGAGTTACATTTACTGTCGTGATCAGCAAAAAAGACAAATCTGCCACAATTTTTTTTTCTAGATGGATTAGGTATGTTATCGTAAGAGAAAAGGGCGTAAGTACCCACACTTTTATGGTCAAACTAAGTTAATTGGACGCATTTAGGAAATAAATTGGTGAAAAGGCGTAATTGCCTAAATCATTTAAGTAAATGAAAAGACGCAAGTCGCATTTAAGTTTCTATCTTCTTCAGTTAAAGCTGTACATATATGCATTTACCGAAAAATGTTAATTTCCCAGATGACAGTTACACAATGCTTACATAAATTTAAAATAAAGTGAAAACGTTATGTACCTCTTATTTAATGTAATAAAAATGTTAAGCTACGACACATTGAAAAGAAATTGTAACTACATGCTGCCCTTTCGTCTTATTATTACACTAAAGTTAACAAGAGAGTTGTAATTATGCTAAGCTGAAAACGTATATGTGGTTACTTGCGCCCATCTTACCTAGTATTGAGTATTTTACGAACATTTTTTACTAAGATGAAAAGGAAAAAGTTTAATAATTTGATAATTGAGTATAAATAACTAAATATTTTATTTTTACATTATGCATGTAATGTAAACCTATTTATTATATTGCGTTTGCAGCAAGTGTCTTTGTCTTTCGTTTGGCGACCGCAGACATTTTTCATTTTTTTTTCTTTGAACATTATTTTCTCAGATTTGACTTTTTGTCACAAGCGCCCTTTTAACTAAAACTACTTGGGCGGCAAAAATAACGAATTTTATACATATTTTTTATGTATAAATTAATAAAACTATCTTTTAATTGAATAAAACAAAGTGATGTTTACTTTTAATTAAGTACAAAATTTTGTGTTCAAAGCTGTTGTTCGTAGTAGGGAATAATGCAAATAGAATCAAAATATAAAATAATTTTGTACTTATATAATATTATCATCTAAAGTAATATAGAAAAAAAGAAAAATGTGGGTCGCACTACTTTTGCGCTGCTTGCCTTAATTATGTTCACAATTTATTTCTCACTGTTTACACTCTTCAACAAGAAAATGGCAAAACTGGACAGAAATAATACTGCACAAAATATGTAGTAACCCTTGCGAGTCTAACTATATTTCCGTTTGACGGGCACGTGAACTACTGCTTCGTTTGGAAGCCTCGTTAAAAAGTCGGCTAGACAGACTATCTTCGCTTCAGGAATTATCTACTAGTGGCTACTTCGCCATTCATTTATTTTGTGCTGTCATAAACCTCACTTATTTGCTAATAAATTGAAATTAATAATGAAACACAAAATTGCACGATAGTTTGTAGGGAAATGTGCTACCTCCACCAATGTATTCTTCAAAAATAAGGTGTTTGTTTCTATTTGGTGCTCCTTAATTAATAATACAAATAATTAGGCAGCTCAATGAGTACCTTGCATTAACATAAATGAAAATCTTTGTAAAAGTGCGCAGTGCGCCGAACCATCACAAAAATTGAATTAGATTTATTATTTGGAGCGCCACCTACACACCTACCAGAAAATGGTTGCTTGGGTTAAGTACGCTAAAGCTACAGCTACTCAACAACAGATGGCGCATCCACTTATCTAAATTTATTCAATGCACGTAATAAATATATTGTAATTACTATCAATTTAAACTAGGGTCAATAATAACGCAATTAAAGACTCACCTGTTAGCTGTCAGCGTCGTCATTTCGACAGAATTGCCGCAAGCAGTTAAAATTTCATCGCTGCTACTGCCACCTGTGATGCGCTGGACGGAGCTCAAAGAACCATCGTCGCTTGGATTTTTAACTGCGTTCGGCAAATTGACAGTAGATGGCGCTGCACGTTGTTTCGCAGCTTGCTTGTGTCGACTCAGAGCAAAAAATAAAGCTAGCACCGCTTTAAGTTTCGCATCTCTGATATCTACAGCTGTTACTTGTTCCAGCCCTTGGACTTTTTGGGCGTTAAGGAAGTCCAAGCAGCACTGAACGTTTTCCAACTGCAACAATAAAATAAATTGTAGATTAGAATACTGAAACCGGACAAAACGTATTTCGGAAAAGTTTTATTTGCACGATTGGTCACGTCTTTTCCTCATAGTAAGTATCACATTTAGTCTCAAAATGGTCTGCAGGAATCTCACGTAGTCGGTACGCGATTCGATTATCAATCGAATAAAAAGATTAACGAATTCGAAAGTGTCACGATGATAGTTATGTGTGAGCTTAAAAGTCCAACATGCGCTGCTTTCAAATGCTTATCTTTGGAGCATCAGACCTTGAACATTACTCAGGCATTCAAGACTGTTTGATACGTGATGTTTATATTGACTACCTGTTACATAATTACTGCTAATAAATAGTACTGGTAAAAATTATGTTTATGTAGGAATAGTTAGCACATAAAGCAATGCATTTTAGAACGTCCTTATCTCAAGCTGGATAGAGTTATTAAATTAAATCTTAAGTGTCAAGTTTCTCTTGACCCCGTACCTATGTACTACAACATTACTTAAACGAGATAAGTTAAGTGCTTTTTAACTGATTTCAAAAAAGGAAGAGGTACTCAATTCGTCTGTTTTTTTGTGTGTAAATGTTACGCGATAGCTCCGGCCGGCATTTGTGAACCAATTTTGATGATTCTTTATTTGTTGATAGAGGGTACCTCAGTAGTGGTCTCATTTAAATTTAAAGAAAATATTCCACCTCTAATGGTGGCAAATTGGGGGATCAATTCGGTTTCGCGCACTATCCGGTAACCGATTTCAATAAAACCTGGCAAATAAATATATTTCCACGAACTTTTGAGGATGGTTTTTAATGTACTCTGTACTGAGATTATTTAAAAACAGTTTGTGCAGTGAAGGTGTTCACGAACCTATTACTAACTTAATACATAACTATGTACAGTAGACGGAAATTTTAGGAACCTATCTACTTACCTAGCAAGGGTTGGAGATGGAGGATGCAAAGATATTCCATATTTTAATCAGCAATAAGTATGAAAACAAAATCAATAAAATTTCGTATTTTATTTCGTGTTTATTTTTAGCGTTTAATTGTTTACGTTTTACAGAAAGCAACCACAATAAAGCAATCTGCGGTTGCGCTTGCGCCACAGTCGGCGCCGGGCCTTAAAAGGCGTGTCTCCGGCATAGGTCACGCAGGCTCCCGACCATCGCTTTTTGATAACATTGTGAACTGCAAATTATATGAGTATGTTTTCTTTTTTATACCACCAGGAAGAATTTCATTGTTGAAAAACGTACGTACTATAAATGTCTCACTATCTCCTTCAAAAAGCTTCTATAAGTAACAACTACCTCCTACAGCAGATCCGGTCACGCCAGCTCGAGCACAATGTTATATTTATTTTGTTAAAATATCAAGTGACGGGACGAACAAGTCATGTGTGGTAAGCTATACGCCTGTCCATATTATACATTCCGTCACCCTGAAACATAAGTTGACAAGTCCCGTGTGCCTGTAATTTCAACAGCACCCTTACCCTTCCAAACCGGAACGCAGTAATGCTCACATTACTGCTTGGCGGCAGAAATAGGTAAGGTGGCAGTACTTCCTGGACGAACTTTTCACAAGGAGCTCTACAGCTACTGTTAAACATTTACTGGTATCACGTAAAGTTGACTTTTAATGGAATTTATTTATTGAAATAGCTTTTGCTGTTCGAACTTTTATCTGGTCAATTTGTTTTTACACTATTTGTCGACCACAAAAAGTTTCTTCAATACGTAAGTAGTTTAGTTTTTAGATAAATCTCTATTACGAAAAAAATATCAAGTGATAGTGTTTATTATGTTAGTTTCTCTGTAATTGTAGTCGTAAAAACGTACAAGATAGTATCTAATAGTTGGGCGAACTACATGAAATTAAGATACTGTACCAACTAAATGCGAATTCGTGTTTTAGTTGTTTAATCTCATCGTATACTTCGGTAGTATTATTATATTTATTACAATTGTTCACAATAAGTTCTATGAGAGACAACGTGAATGTAAAGGGTTACAAGAATCATAATATTAGAGTAATGTTTCTTGGGAACCCGTCATTAAGTGCCGTATTTCAATTGTTTTAATATTAGTGTTCCAAATAGTAATATATTCGGCCTCTCGCCGAATACCGAATATTTGGCTAGGAGCGTGTCCGAATAGCCGAATACTCCATCAAACTATTCGACCTGATTAATGCAAAGTAAAGTATAACTGTGTATTCATAATCATAACAAGCAGTGGAGTTATTTCACAAAAAAAATCTCAATGAATATAACTTTCACGTTTGTATGTCTTAATAAAGAAAATAATACTTTATTTTACTTCCTTTTGATTAATTTTTAAAAATTAACTTTGTTTTAGTTTGCAAATCATAAGTATTTGTTTTTTTTTTGTTAGCGTTTATTTAGTTATGGGTAAACCAACATAATGAGTAGGTGGTTTTCATTTGGTATGTTATCTTTTTAGATCTCTTAAAAAAATATCTTTACTTTTTCCAATTCAGTTTTAGATAAAAAAGTGAAGAATTATGCTTTCACTTGTCATTATTTTTTTATGAAAAAAATTAAAGTTACTTGATAATTTACTGCTTGTCTGGTGTTTTTGGGTATTTAGACAGTATTCGACCGAATAGTGATTAAATCACTATTCAACATTCGGCTGAAAAGCAAAAAACAGACCGTATAAGCTGAATATCGAATAGAAACCGAATATACGGCGCAACTCTAGTATACATCAATTGTTATTGTTGAATTGGAATTGGTTTGCCGACATTTCAATAATACATTCGTTTCTCATAACATTATAATTTTACAGAGTTTACTATTGTATTTTATTGTTTCAAATTATCGAAAAAAATCTCGGTCAGATATCTGAACTTTTTGTTGTATAAGTATGTTATGATCTAGTGAAGGATGTTATGCTCTATTTACATTAGCTATGGGCGATAATTTTATATAAAAAAAATATTATCCGGAATAAGATAAGAACTTTAATATGTACGAAATTTAATTTGAAATTTACCATGAGTTATTCGGTCAAGAAAAACATCGTGATGATACCTGCACGTCGATGATTTCCAAAGCTCGGAAAACGTGTGAAATCCCCAACCCGATCAGGCCAGCGTGACGGACTTTGGTCTAAACCCTGCCCTCGTCTGAGAGAGGAGACCCGTGCTCAGCACTGGGACGTATAAATGGGAGATGATGATGATTTATACAACACGCGTATAGATTTGCGTATGCTGATAAATATGTCCACTGTGGCAGCAGCAACGTCATTACGTTAACAGGTCTAGTTTTGCATTTGTTTACATTGAATACAATCAATGATCAACCGTTCCATTGCTGAACACACCACCTTGGCACAATACGGGTTGGTGGCTTCACACGTTCTTCACGATTTTTTTCTTCACCATTTGCTAGAGTTATTTCCACCTAACATTACATGCCGCTATAAGGATTCCAACTATCAACCTCTCAATTGAAAAGCAACTCTTGTCCAGCTTGACTACCACCGCTTTTGGAAAGCAAGCTAAATAGCCGGATCGAAAGAATTTTTGTTTGTGTTCGATCGTTGTATTAATAATTATAACAAACTAGTGGGGTATTATAATTATTAATACAAAGATCAAAGACTTAGAAAAAAATCCTTCAATTCGGCCGGATTCGAACCGACGACGTCTTCTAGCAAACCGTTCCAGACGCTATACCAGTTAAGTCACGGAACGAACTAGCTATCCTCACGAATTTTTCAATGTGCTTGTTGTTACATAAAACTATCGGTAGATATCTAATTGTATATTTAAGTGTAACAACTAAGAGACTAGTTCTCTCTTCCACTATTTGCATTGCCCTGTTTAGAGTCCATAGTTTGCATAATTTGATTTCAGTATTAATACAAAAACATCTGTAATGTATGTGTTCGTTGTGTTGCGTTCCATAATACTCGTACATTATAGAACATAATACTAATATATTGGAATAATATTATGGAAAGCAAATAAATAAGACTAAAGAATATCGTGATATTCAACAAACTTAATATTGTAAAAAAAATTAACAATAAAACATTGAATGGTTGTAATCAATTTGACGATTTCAAGTGTAATTTCCTTACCTACGAAATAAAGATAAGTTTGAGTTCGAGTTTGTCTAAATTTGAACTTAGGTTAGCCTGTGAAGGCTGCATACGAAGTATTTACTCATTCATATTCTTCCCTTTAATATGTATATTGTTGGTCGATTTTAGTCATGAAACCAAAGATATCAACGACGTCACATTGCGATGCTAAACTTTGATGTTACGTGATATTACCTTTGTGTTCCCATTATAACCTCAAAATCAGATTTAAAGATGAGAATGTCGGTATTATTTGCTAGGTAAAGCAATGTAAACTATTTTAATCCACCACATCGGGAATAGGGCACGTGCGATCATGATCTACCAGCAAGGTGAAACCGCGCCCTTCATGCTATGCACTTCTCGTAAAAACTCAACTGTGACTTTTTAATGACCGCGGTGTGAGTGTGAGCGTTATTATTATTAAAAATAGATACCTATAGTATAAAAAGATTTTTTTCAGGCAGCTTAAACACGAACAATGTTTTTTTTATGATAGCAAGTGACGGAACGAATAAGTCGTGCGCCTGGCGGTAAGCGACTCGCCTGTCCATAACAGTTACAGTGACGCTCAGAGGTGTAAATCACAAAGATTTGACAGGTACTGCCACTGCGCCCGGCACCCTGAGACATAAGTTGACAATTCCTTTGTGGCTGTAATTTCACCAGCACCCTTACCCTTCAAGACCGAAACGCAATAATATAATATGAGTACATTACTGCTGGGCGGCAGTAATGTACTGAAGATTTAAAAATATGAGCTCTAATCTGCCGCAAAATTTGTTACTTACAGTCTCGACTTCTTCAGGATCTTTTGAGAAAAAGAAAAAAAAATATAAGACCTATATATATATATATATATATATACA